CGTTCGTTTCCCCAACCCCCCCCCCCCCCCCTCCTTTTTCTTTTTTCTCTTCCGAATTTCATTTCCCTCAAGCCCCTTCTCCCGTTTTTGGGGGTTTTTTTGGGGGGTTGTTTTTTTTTGCAGGACATCGCGGATCTAGCGTTCGAAGTTTCCGGCAGAAAGCCTCACCCCTTCCCCAGCGTCAGCAAAATCATCGCCGACATGCTGTTCAACCTCTTGCTGCAGGCGCTCTTCCTCATCCAGGTGAGTCCCCAGCCGGAAAAAAAAAAGAAAAATAACCGCCCAGCCGGCCCCAGCCGCTCGCGCCTCTCGCTCTCGGGGCGACGTCCGCCCGCGAATCCGGAGCGCCCCTCCCTCGCCCCCTCTTTTTACCCCCAGGGGATGATAGTGAGCCTCTTCCCCATCGATATCGTCGGCCAGCTGATCAGCCTCCTCCACATGTCGCTGCTCTACTCGCTCTACTGCTTCGAGTACCGCTGGTTCAACAAAGGTGAGGGCCGCCTCCGCGCCCCCGCCGAGGCCGGAATTGTGTTTTTTCCGGATGGAGGGGGTTTCTCCTGCTGGAGGAGCACCCGGCTGGGGCGTTCCGAAGCTGATTTTCCTTCGGTTTTCGTACGGAACGAAGCGTAACGAAGGTCTCTCCTCCCCCGTGGGTTCGTTTCTGCGGGATTTTCTTCCGGCCAGGAATCGAAATGCACCAACGGTTGTCCAACATCGAGAGAAACTGGCCCTATTACTTCGGCTTTGGCTTGCCGCTGGCTTTTCTCACGGCGATGCAATCCTCTTACATCATCAGGTGAGCCGCTGGGAGGGTGGGCGGCCATTTCGGACCCCCCCCTTCCTCCCGCGCCGAACCCCAACCCGGCCCCCTCTCTTGCTTCTACTGTTTTTCTTGACCTTTTTTTCCCCTTCATGCGGTTGCCTCTTCTCCATCCTTTTCCCTCTCTTCATCATCAGCGCCAACGAAGCGAGGACCCCCGGCAAAACCTAGTGAGTGCCGACCTCCCCCCCCTCCCAGCCC